TCGCGTCTTCTTCTCTCTCTCTCTCTCTCTCTCTCTCTTTCTCTCTTTCTTTCTTGATTTCGCTTTGTTTTGTTTCGTTTTTTTTTTTATCTTTTTTGCTGGTGAAGACCAACTACGTTACAGTAATCTCACTTGTCTCGCCGGGGGAGGGGAACAGGAACAAATCTGGGAGTGCTCACGTCCCAAAAACGGTGGAGAACACTGTTCTTGCCACACGCACAATGTGAGAGAACCATGGGGTGCGACAGGCCTCTATCCTGCTGAAGGCATCAGCTGTAATTCCACCCTCAATGCTTGTGGCACCGCAACAATACAGACTTGAACGCTCCAGCCGCACAGCAAAATGATGTCCCCCTCCACACGACTGCCCCGCCCCTGATTCGACATGTGCCAAGGATACTTCAGTCACACAACTACCTGCTTTACGGCGTATAAAAGATCCAGTGGATTCGCCGGTCCGGCACGTTAACCTCCCCACCCTTCCCTCAGTGGTACACTTCTCCTGAAAAGATTTCGACTGGACACTCCACACGGCAACTGGCAGCCGATCAACTTCGCAGTCTTCATGCTTCTGCCGGCATTTAGCATCCTGCAGCAAAGTATCTGACCGTGTCTCCTCAACACAGGCGAGAGACAGCAAAGGACTTTTTAACGGCACCACCATGCAATGTTCAATAGGGGTATTTTCTAACGGCAAACACGTTGGTGCAGCTGTCTTTGACATAGTAGTGTCCGCTTGTTTCGTACTTGCTGAAACGGCGTTTTCTCCGTTATTATCATCGCCGCTACCGCTCCTCCGATGCCCCTGGTGATGCAAAATTAACAAATCCTCACCTTTTCTTCTATCGCCGTCCTCACTGTTCTCTGAGGAAAACTCAAACCAGCGTTCCCCAGTGGCGAAAGCTCCCCCGCTAGCGGCATTGCTTTCGGAGTTAAACAGAAAAAACACGGACTCAGCAAGCTTCAGCGTTGCGCTCTTGGCCACAATTACCTCCCTGCGTATGGAATAGCCGCGACATTTATTGAGATGCACAGTGGCATACTCCACCCGCATGGCCGGACCACAAACTGCTCCAATAAACCGACTCTCAACTGCCCGCAGGATGCTACCGCCACTGAGTATCACAGCCTCAGCCCCAGCAAAATAGCAATGTGAAGCATCAATAGTCGACCCTCCAGAAGCAATAAGCTGCCGCACATTCACATGTTCTGTCACCAACGATGATGTTCGAGTCATGCAAACACGCAGGGGCACGACTTCACCACCTGATAACGCATTTGGACCCTTTTTAACATTCTGCGCAAGAGAATCATCGTCCACCAGAGAGTCATAGTTATCTACAAGGGGGATTCTGTCCGTGCCTTCTTCCACACATGTTGTGGGGGGGTAATGCGTCAGAGGCTGCGATGTCCCGAGTGAACGTTTCAGGGTTGCCCCAGAAATAGAGGAAGCATCACCGCCTATGAGTGATGCCTCAGATAGGCCACGTATGTCACCTTTTGCGCCCTGCAGTAAAACAAGGCCGTACCAAGTTGGCCTGTCACAAGGGGCATTGCTTCCATGTCTATTTTTGGGCAACAACCCACTACCATGAGAGCTCGTCGAGGCGTTACAGCTCCCCACACAACCGGGCACGGTCGCAAACACCTTCCGAAAAAGAACATTTCGCAAGTGTACTGTGGCCCTGCGACCCTCCGCCACAATCACATATTTTTCCATATTCTCTTTGCCACCGGCTTCCTCCTCCACCACGCGATGTTGGTCCTCAAGGAGAACGAGGCAGCAATCCATCACTAGCGCCCCACTCCAGAAAACACGAATGAGACCATTCGGCTTCAACAAGGAAGAAGTTGAAGACAATGTCGGCATACAAGGGAGAGACCTGGGAGATGCAAGATCTGCCGAGGACGAGGATGGAGGTGGCAGTGACGGCCGGAAAGCGACAGCTTGTTCGTCATCCACGTCTGATGTGGGGTGAAGCACGACGCGCTCCAGAAAGCACTTTCCTTCAATCTGTAGTCTTCCATGCAAAACACCGCTTGTCGAGGATACGGGGGAATGACAATTTACCCGCGAAACACCGCCACGGTGAACAATAAGTGCGTGATGTCGAACATGTCGGGCATAACAGTTTGACAAATACATTTGCGATCCTGAGAGCGCATTGAACGCCACATTGCAAAACTCTGCAGTGCATTGGTGAAGATACACGTTCGCACCATCTCCACAACTCACAGCACATTGTGCGCCACCACCAAAAAAAGCGTTGTGAATAACTGCAGTACCCTTATCAATAGCAAAGCATGAAGGAAAAAGCCCTGATGGAGTTGCTGAGGACCCTGAAAGAGTTGACTCTGGAGGTAACTGCTGTTGTGCAGGGTCCTTACAAACCTTGATATCCAACATGCTGTCTGTCAAAGTGTCCAATCTCGCACCATCGTAAACGTAGAGGCCAATTCGTGAAAAACCACTCAGCTTCACATGTCCTTCTATATGCACAATACCATTGCGATTCTCAATGCTATACATGCGAGCTGTGTAGCTGCCTCGGCGCACCTTGCACGTTCCATGACTAAGCACAAACACGCCCACATGATTGCTGTTGGTGCTACAACGTGACAACCGACACTTGGCGCCGTCAACTGTAAAACCATTCACAATATGCTTTGCGGTACAGTGAGAAGCCTCCAGTTCTGTGTCAGGACCAATCGCGGCGTACCCAAACGTTACGTGCCGTACTTCACACCCAATAGCGATACAGCGACTTCCCGACCAGGCCTTCACACCAGAGTTCTTTTGGGAGCTGTACGACGGCAAATTGCCGGAGTTATCAGCGTGAGCTAAATTTACTGCAGATACATTTCCCATTCTGCCTCGATTCCAGCCTTCATCAGTTCTATCAGCAGCATCAGTGTCTGAAGCAGAAATAAAGCTTGAACGGCCAATACCAGAAGAAAAGCACTTACGACACGAGGTTTCGCCAATATTAGATTCACTAGAAGCGGTGGCACCCATGTCAACGGTACATTTCTCAAGACGGAGACATCCACCATTGTAGCATGTAAACCCACTGTCAAGCCCGTGCTGAACTGTAACCCCAATGCACACTGTATCGCTTGAACGACTCTCTAATCCATGTAGATGACCCTTCAGCACACACGAAAGCCAACCTGCCTTACACTTAGCGGCATTTAAGTTATCCATTCGCAGTGTTGAACGATTGAGAGCAAATACACCAACGTGATCCGTGGTCGCACCACAGTGATGCAAGGTGCAATGAGCATCATCAACAGTAAATCCATTCGTCCCACCCACAGCCATGCATTCTTCAAAACGAGCAGAAGATCCCTGAATAGCGGCAAAACCAAATGCATAATCCGCCACTACACATCGCTGCACATAAGCTCGGCTGTTCACAACTTTTACTCCACATGGCTGCTGTGACAATGCCAATGATTTACACACAACAACGTCGGTGAGTGTAAGCGAGCCCTGATCGTAGACGTAGATGGAAGTGTCCTGTGCATCTGCAAGAAGCATCCCTTTTGCCACCATACATGCATCACGGACCTCCAGACTAAAAAGTCCCCCCTTAAAAGAGAGAGGAAAAATTGACGTATTTGTTGTCGTTGCCCCAGAGACAGGGTGAGGGTCAAAAGGTTTCCTATTCATACCAATAGGCTCAATAACTTCAAGAGCGGAAAGATCCATTGCTTCATCTTCACTTGCTGTGGCTGCGTGTGGCTGCGGTGGCGCAGTCGGGCTGCTGAACACAGAGGAAAAGGCAATATCTGTCTCTGGATCTTCCTTGCATATGCGTCTATCCCCGCGCTGAAACTTCCGCGGGCGCCCAACGTTTTCACGTGCCTTGAGTAAAAGGCGGCAACGTTCTTCAAACGGAAGAACGTGTTCATTGTCATTATTGATGATGCATTTCGCCTTATTCAGCACAAATACACCCACATGGTTGGTGTGGGCAGAGCTGTTTTCAATAGTCACAGATGAGGCATCAATGGTGTAGCCATTCACAACATGTTCGGCGTGGCACCCAAAGAAGTGTGAAACGGAGTGCGCAATAACCGAAAAGCCAAAGTATAGATGCTCCGCCACACAATGACGGGCAGTGACAAGACCCCCAAGCTCCACATTAAGTCCAGTTAGACGATTAATATCGGAGACTTGTAACTCGACACTATCCTCCCCATAAAAACGTGTGTTGGCAAAAAAAGCACGACACCCAAGTATACTAACTGCACTGCTGCTTCCTGCCATAATACTACAATCGGCAATGTCTACTGAGGCATCTTGTTCTGCAAATATTGTTTTTTCAGTGCTATGCGACATGATACGGCAACCACCCTGCATGTGCAACGTTCCACTATTAGAAACCAGTATAAGAGATTGTAGCACAAACGGTGCAACTGGACTAATAGAAGGAGTTTCTTTCTCATTTTCAAATGTGTATTCCCTTCGTTGCACCGTTGTATTGTTCCGTATTTCCACGGTTGAAGCATCAAGGACCAGAATCCCTTCTCTACGTGTTTCGGCACAGTCCACGTACACGTTACATTGAGAAATTCCCACACGTCCTCCACCTTCGGTGGAAAAGTAACCAATGAAAGTGCATTCAGACATTTCAAGAGTTCCAAGTACAGTAATCGCACCGTAAACCGTAAGGTTTTCAAGTCGTAAAGTGCATCCCACCGGCACCGTGCAAGGAGCCTCCGGCTTCCGACGTCGTTGTACACTCGGAAGAATATCACTATTATTCGTGGCTCTGACAACCTCACCTGTCAGGATCAAAACCACTCCGCTTTCTTTCTTTCCCTGATCAAGCTGTAGACGGGGGTGTATGTTTTTATTGCCTTGATGCTTCCTACGACGCTCTGGTTTGATCTCCCATACCATATCATCGCCGTCAACGCTAGATGTGATGGATAGTTGCTGGTCTACCCGTCTTCGGCAATCCGCAGCCTCGCCGTTACGAGATAAATCCGTGTCAGGAACCATCAAGCCAACGTCGCTAGTAGCCGTTGGTGTATCTAAGGCTATATGAAGGTTCTTTGCTTCCTCCTTCTTTTCCACGCGGCACGGCGCTATCGTCATCGTGTAACTCGGGGTAGCGAAACCGGCCGTGGGTAACGTACACTTCACAAGATGCTCATCAACGCTCTCACAACGACCTCCATTTGGCAAGTCCTGACCTCCAAGATCCAGCTGAACATCCATCACCCCACCCGCAAAAAAGAGTTTCTGTAGTTCATCCCCAGAATGAATAGTTGCCTTCTTGACTGATGCCATTCCCCTTCCATCGTCGTATGCATATGAAGTAGAGGAGGCGGCGGAAGAGTTCGGGACCACCACGCCATTCTTCATAAATGCTGCCGCTAGTAAATCTTCTTGTTGTCGTTGTTGTTGCTGCTGCTTGAAGAAGTCTTTGCGGGAACAACCGCGGAAGAGGTGCGGATGAGACTGACGAATGTGTTGAATGCCCAGTTCATGTTCGTTCTGCGTGTACGCTGCGACAGGAACGGCGGGAGCAGCGGCAACATCCATCGCGTCGGCGGCCGGCAACTGGTGTTGTTGGTTCCCGCTACTTATACTGCTATTAAGTTCATCCACCGTCACCTTGCTGTCATGGCTGAATGGGTTCAGCGTGGCGTGCAGTGAGCGAATGAGGAGTGCGATTCCCTCCGCATCCACCGACCACTGCTGCGACATCAGCTCTAGCGAACAAATTGCGCCGTGGTGAATGAAGGTTGCTACGAGCCGAGGGGCAATCACAAATACAAGCGGCATACGTTGCAGCTCCTCGAAGAAGTAGATGCGCAAAGAAACGAAAAACTCCTTATTGTTTTCATCCTCGTACTTCAACAGCACGTACCAGTTTGTTAAGTCGTCCTCATCAATGAGCTCAACTAACGCACAGCAACCCTCCAACATTTTGCTTGTGTTTTTTTTGAAGTACGCAAACAAGCGCTGTAAGCGCTGCAGGTCTGAGGCATGCATTGCAGGCGATGGTCAAAAAACAACAAGAACTGCTACTACTATGACCAACAGTGACAATACAAACACATCTATGCATATATATATATATATATTTTGATCGCAAAGAAAGCAAAAAAGAAAATAAAAAAAATAAAGCAGGAAATGGAGAGCAAAACACAGATACGCACACCTGCGGAAAAACGGCTCTTTTTAGCTCTAATTTTATATTCATTCGACATGAAAATAGTAAGAAAACTGCTTCCATTTTGACCGTCTGTTTGCTCACTTGCTTCAATATGCTGGGGGCACGAACCCCACCCACCTCGACGTTATGCCATGTTTCAGAACGCTCCAAAGTAGAACACCTCGCAGCCGCCACTTCAGCAGCAGCAGAAATAAGAGAAAAAAAAACACCACACCCTCGTACGCTCACGCAGGACAAGTAACAAGTTCAAGGGATAAGACTCAACAATTCTCATTCCTCGCGCATTCCCGGCAACACCTACAGGCACAGAGAGGGAGACGCAAATGTTTCTTGTTTTGCATCTACAGAAACGTTATGCACTGCTGTTGTAAAGGATTTGCCTGCACAGCCAAGAAAAAAAAACACATTGAGGAACAAATAAAAAGAGATGAGACAGAACTCAAGAAAGCTGGTGCACAACTAACAACAGCAACCATTTATAATGCTTTACTGCAGCAAAGCTTCCTACAGAAGGGATAAAACCGATGCAACTACAACACAATAATAATAATAATAACTACGCGCTCACATTTTCACAAGCAAACAAAACAACAGTACAACAAAACAAACAAAAATGGAACACTGACCCCTGTTCCCTCAACCTCTAGATG